TACATGTGAAGCAGAAATCTCATAGTGGTTTTCATAAAGCTCTTGTTAAGACAAAATTATGAAACTATTTTGATATCTCCAGTGATTTGTTTGTAGACTTAAGATTCTTAAAATTGTTCTGACTTAGTAATTTCTTAAGAATAAATTTTTTAAGTCTATCGATAATTCAGTTTATTTCTCCCCTGGGGATTCTCTAGTGCTCTATGTTAGAATTATAGAAGTACTTGTTAATTTATGTAGATTGGTCGTAACACAGGCACTATTAAATTTAAGATGCCTTGAGATCTAACGTTTGTCTTCTGGGACAACTATCACCAGGGTGAACGCAAAGTAAAACAGTTAAAGAGAACTAGCTGTTTTAGTGTTAACCACTCAGCTTTAGGTCTAAAATTAACACGTAAACCTAAGCCTTGAGTGAAAAGGGCTATTTTAGTTTAGTATGCACAAAACATTTTCTTTGGTGTGGACTTTTAGTAGCACACAAATAATCATGCAAAAAGACTAACAAACCAGATTTTCTGTTGTCTGCCACCCAATTTCCAGTATATCCCTGATAAATTGAAATCTGTTGGTCTGGCATCTGACAGATTTCATCCGCAGACAGAGTCCCTATTATTGCTGTCGCTAGTTGGGAATGTATTATTAATCACAAGCAAAGCAAAATCGGAGGCAAGAACCAGACAAGAAACAAACAAACAAAACATACATGGAAAACCAGAGTCAAAAGAAAGAAAACAGAAACAGACACTATGCTGTTGCCTTTTGAGGTTAAATCTAGATGCCAGGAAAGGCATCTGTGGACTTAGAGACCTCATGAAACACTCTCCTTGGCCAACAAAGCTCAATTTGGGGGCTTCAGCCTCCTCAGTGAGACTTCCAACTCCATCAAAATATAATTCTCAAAATTAAAACATAATCATCAGAAAAATATCAAATGCTGAAGTCTTAATTAACTCAGTAGTGAGAAAACCACCAGGATGACAAGGTGGTTCCAAAGATGATCCAAGAAACTCAAGTACTTATGTACACACATGTACAGTCAATGACAAAAAAAAGGAATGCCAGAGGAGGGTTACTAAGTTTGATTCAAAGTGGAAATGTGCTCTGCATCAACAAAGCCATAACCTGTTTGTAATTCTGCCCACCAGAGAGTTAGCATTTGCCCTTTACCAATTTTTTTTCAAATTAACCTCTCATTTATGGAGTTGTAAAATACTGGACTGTAATTACAAGAGTGAATAAGATTAAGTCCAAAATTTTACATTTCTCTAGAGAGTCACATGACTTAGGGGGACTTGTTAGAGAATGCTCAAGCATGGCATTGGAAAGTAAGACAGGCGACTCTGTGTGTGTGTGTGTGTCTTCCAAGTTTGAACATTGTTTTTTTTACCCTGAAACAATGATAACCCTGAGTAATTGGGTGAATGGATCTCTTTAGTGTAATATAGAAGATTAGAAAGATAGCAGGGAATTGGGGGGGGGGGTTGAACACCTTGTTTGAAGGATTTATTAGACCTGTCTAACCAGGTATATTAGTTGGCAGCTAGATGAATAAATCTGGAATCCAGGGTTGAGCACAGATAAAAACAATTTCTGCGGCATACAGAGAATATGTAAGCTTGGGACCAGGTGAGACATCTAGAGAGTTAGTTTCATTTGGAAAACTATATTCAAGGGGCTGGGCACTAAGGAACTCCAATGTTAGTGGTAAAATAGGACCAAGATCCTGCCACTGAGGCACAGGTTTAGAGCATCTGTGAGCATAAGGTATCTCAAGACTAAGAGCATGATGTGAACGTTTTAAAGCAATAACTGAGAAAATGACATGAAGGCTGTGTTGACCAGTTTGATGGAAGTATTTCAGATTGCATGTGAAAACCCCACACTGTACCCAAGAAGTGCATTAATGTACATAGTTACCATTCAATAAAAAAAAAAAAAAAATAAGAACATGAAATGCTTTATTAAGAGGTCAAAAGTGTAAGGACTGAGAAGTGATCCACTGGAGTTTGCCATGTGGCATCATCAGCGATTGTGATAAGAGACAGTTCTAGCAAAGTGGTGGGGACAAAGGCTGAAGGAAATTAGTTCAGAAGAGCATCAGAGAAGAGAAAATACAGGCTACTCCTTGAGGAGCTATTTCAACAAAAAGTCAGTGTATGGAGGAAGAGAGGAAATCAAAAAGATAGATGGCTTTTTTGTTTGTTTAATTTTTTAAAGGTAGGTTATATCAGTCTGTTGGTGTCCTAACAACTTTTTTTCACTTGTGTATCAGTTCATTCAGCAATGGGAAGGGTGCTGTAGTGCTGCATAAGATCCTTGCTGATATAAAATATCAGAACCTTGATATAACCAGTGCCAAACAGAAAGTGAAGAGCCAGGAGACAATAGTCACAATGCTGGAGAGATTCTGAAAAGCATTCTAAAGTAGAAAGCCCTCGATGCAGCTTAAAGAATTCAAGCACACGTAAATGATAGGATTAGTTTTTCAAGCAGCAGAAGCAGAACAAATTAAAGCTAAGAAATAGGAACCGAGAGGGCATATTTGTGCTAAAACAGTAACCTTCGTATTGATTATACTTATTTGACTGATCCTCCTCAGTTAGAAGAATTGAAAATGCCTTAACACGTTTTCATTGAACATGACAGTCTTCTAGCTTCTGTAGGAAGCTCTGCATGGCCCCATGTTACATGAGACTGCTTTGTAACGTCGAAACAAGGATTTCGTTTATTGAGGAAGAAACGCCTCATACATTTTATTCACACAGTCGTTATTAATATAACTTCTTAACTCCTTCCCACGGGTAAGACTTACCCTACAGATTTCCCTATGTTTTTCAGATTTTTTATGCGTCAGTATTTACAGCACATTTCTGCTAGAGTTGACTATCCATTAAAGAGTCATTTTGAATCATCCTAGTTCATCTTAAATAAATGTCATGATAGAAATACGATAAAAGACGTTTTCCTGTACTTTTAAACTTTTAATAACCTAAAGACCATTGTCCATAATTTCACAATAGTACTTTTGTGGTCTGATTTTTCAAATGCAAATTGAAAGCTATAATAGAATTCCATCTTTATGGAAATAACGGGGAGAAAAGGTACATGTTACTTAGTCACACTTTACTATAAAGAGAGCTTTTCAATAACCACTATGAGGAGTGTGCTAAAAAGGTTGATAAGAGATGAAAAAACCACTGAGTTCTCAGTTTCTGGTGGTTTTTTGAGGATGAACATTATGACTGTGAAATTTACCAAATCTGACATTTCTGCAGATCCTCCAGCAGAATTCTTCAAGTAAAGTAGTAGAAATAGGAGGTGGCAATAGGAAACCTAAAACTACTGACAGATTTAGATAATGCATTCAAATAAGTCAGCCAGGACACAGAAGAAAGTGACTGTAACATTTACCAGGAAAGAAAGTCCACAGGAGCTGGGAATATAGATCTCACAGGAATCAGCTTTGGACTTGTCATATCTAATACTCTCCTCCTTAATGCTTTTAAAAGAAGTTTGTATAAAATGCATAACAAAGCTGATTGGAATAGAAATATTAAGAATATTTTACTATCAGAATTTTGATGTGGACCCATTCAAGTAATACAGCTAAGGATTAAGAGTTCCAGATCATCTTCATCAGAGAAAGCCCTCAGTTTTCAATTCACAGTCCATGAAGGATCCTAGGACCAGTCATGGCTCTTCTCCCAAACTTATAGGCCTCCCTGATCTTGCCTTCCCACCTTTCTGAGCTCCTCCCGTACCAATTTCCCTTTCAGCAGAAACACTTATTATATATGTGATCACAAGCGTGTTCCATAATCCCCAAGACTCCTTTATCATTTGTAGCTTTATTAAGATTAATTTTGACTCTCGTATTAAATGTCATCACTGGAAAAGATACCATATTAGGTAATGTGCACTTTGTATAATTTAAAATGGGAAATAGAAAATGAAGACTATCAAAATGGTGGGGAGGGTCATGTAAGTCAGTTTTTGCAAATATTTTAAGGAAACATAAAATTAAGAGGCTTATTTTAGATAGATCAACCAGGTCTGTATTGGACCAAAGGGACCAAGCTCGATGGATAATATAGCTGGTATGCAATTTAAAAGACTCCCAGAACCCGAGCATCCAGGCTCCCCACTTGCTGCCCCACCTCTCCTCAACTCTCAGATGTCTGTTTACTCGACTAGTAGAAAGGATATTTTTTTCCCCGCCAGCCTTTCGTGGTGCCCAAAATTCTTAACAATAACGTATTCATTGGAGAAGAGAATGAGTCTGTTCACACCAACTAGTACAATCCGGGATAAGTAAATTTCAATAGGGAAAAAAAAGGTGTCAGCCTACAGCATGGAAGTGTGAAGCTCCAAAGGAAGAAGATGAGACGTGGAAGTTTGTGGGGAGGAGATGACGCGTGGAGGGACGAGAAGCAGGAGGGAAACTTCATCCCAAAGCACTTTTTTTTTGGTCTTCTTAGCAGTGGTGCTGAGACTCACCCAGCCTCAGCGGAAGAGGTGTCTGTGAGTTGGAATCCAGAAAGGAATATTAGAACAAATAGGTGTTTTCATTTCTTAAGCCTTGCTTTGTGGCAAATCCAAAGAGTATCAATTCTTTTTCCTATATTTTTCTTTTAAGAATGTAGGTGAACTTTTCTTGTTGATTTAAATAGTTTAGTTTTTCTTTTGTGTCATAGTAACTACAGCACCTGCAAGTTCACCTCCCCAAGGATAACATGTAGACTTCCTATACCCGGAAGGTCTTTATAGGTCTCTAAATTACTTCATGTTGAAATGGCATTGTCTTAAACTACGTCTAGTAAATACATGGGGACTAGTGATATGACTTTAGAATATTTATAGCCATAGGACTGCTGTTCAACTGTCTTTTTCCCCCTAAAAATATGTCTGGATTATTTCAAAACAAATTAGATTTAGAGTTTCAGTTATGCTGACCTGTAATTTATGGATGCATATATGTTTTTACTTTGTAAATATAGTTCATTTACCCCCAAAATGCAAGGCAGACGGATGGGGACGTCGGGAAGAGCCATCATGAAGAGCACCAGTGTGAGTGGAGAGATGTACTCACTGGAGCATAATGACGGCAGCCAGTCTGACACAGCTGTGGGGACCGTCGGAGCAGGTGGAAAGAAGCGGAGGTCCAGCCTGAGTGCCAAAGTGGTTGCCATAGTATCTCGAAGAAGCAGAAGCACGTCTCAGCTTAGCCAGACAGGTGAGTGATGCGAATTCACCTTAAACACCAGAGACCAAAGTTGACCTTCCTGCCGTGGCTCGTGATGGGATCGTGGTGTGTATTTGGTTTACTTTTCTGTCTCTGAAAACCTGTTAACTACATGAGTTTGTTTCTTTGTTTGTTTTCTCTCTTCTGTGCAGCTCTCTTAACAAGGGATCGTTTTTTAATCTGTAAAGTGGTCAGATACTTTAAGTTAAAAAAAAATATTAAGGCCATATTTACAAATATGCAAGGAAATGCAAAGAAGCGTCCAAGGTCCAAATTGATGTAAATGCAAGAAAAGCAACAGGATTCTCTCTTTCAAAATGTTCCACAATTCCATTACTTATAAATTAGGCTATGTCTTTATTCTTCATAGAAAAGAAGGTCAGTTGTGCAACTTGAGATGTAGCCTTCAAGGTACCGTATTAAGATGATAACTGAAGTGTCCTTGTTATTGTTTCAATGCAAGCAAAAACCTAGCCGCGAGTTTCACTTTAGAAAAACGGTTCAGTGGTTTTACGCAAAGAATAATGTTTTAATATGAACTTGTGTTTCAGATGTTTTCTACTGCTTATGAATCTTAAAAACCTTGTGTCCTAAGGGTGTATGTTTGTGTGTGTGTGTGTGTGTGTATATACATATATGTATATGTGTGTGTACATATATATACACACACACACAAGCACAGAGAGGAGAGTGATTATTTTTGCATTGTAAAATATAATAAAACACTGCTTAAAATTATATAATATCGGTAAGACAGATAAGCTATTACTATGCTCAATACTATGTGAAAATGGTGAGTGAAAAATTCAACTGCTGTAAATTCTCAACACCTCTTTCCCCTCTTGTAATCAATATTGGTTCCATTTTCTGTTCCTAATAGCAAGAGCCTTGTCACAAAATTTAACTATAACCAAATGCTTTCAAAAAAAAATTTATATATATCATGCAG